CCTCTTGCAATTCAGGACTCCTTCGGGGATGTCCACCTGCCAGCTCAGGCCCACTCCCCAGGGGATCAGGCCTAAGCTGGCAGTCAGACATCTCTCTGGTAGCCCAGGAGCCCTCGGGGGATGTCCACCTGCCAGCTTAAGCCTGCTCCCTGTGGGAAGCAGGCCTAAGCCACAATTGGACATCCTAAGCACTGTGGAGGAGATGGGGGAGGCTCCCACCACCACCGCTGCGCTCATAGTCATCAGCCTGGCTTGTGGCTGAGCAGAGCTTGCCCTGTGGAAGCGCAGTGACCACCACGGGGCAGCTCCTGCATTGAGTGTCTGCCCCCTGGTGGTCAGTGCGCATCATAGCAACTGGTTGTTCCCAGTTAGGGCAATTTGCATATTACCTTTTTATTATGTAGGATGCTATTTTTCAAATGTATATGTAAATGCACAATTAAACTCATGGGATCTTTCTATCATGATTAATGAATTAGACACAGCTACCATGCTGTGAAAGTCCTCGTATTCACCTGACTTGTGGTTGCATACCTCAGAACTTCCTCCTTTCTTCATCCCCTACAGCAAGGCCTCCTGCAGGTCAGTAGGCCATCTCACCTCAATATCTGAGGCAATTCTGCTTGAGTTTTAAACCATTTTGTCAGCTTCAAACTCCCCCTCTCCTCCCCCTCCCTCCTTGGAAATGACCCTAGCACCACCTTGCTCTCACCTGAGTACTGAGCCCTCTTGTTCTTCCCCAACTCATAGTACCCAGCCTAACTAGACATGGTACATGATCCCACCCCAGCCTTCAATAGTGTCCCATTCTGCATGAGTCTCCTCCCTCAAACCTTGGGAGTTTTCTCATCAATTATCATGTGCCAGAAGCTTTATGTCCCCTTATGTCCATTATCTCTATACCCTCCAGCAGGGCAAGTATTATTCCCCCAACTAGAGGAATCTGGGGTTCGGACAAGTCAAGTCACTAGCTCTAGATCACATAGCTGGTGACTGGTGGGGTCAGGACTCAAAACCAAAGCTAGCCAACTCCAAGGCCAAGTTCTTTCCACTACTACACTTTACCTCCCTTAAGAAAAGAGCATCACCCAGCTGGGTTTCTTGTTTCTCTGCCCCACCTATGGATGGGACACTTTTTTCACCCCTGCCCACATGCCCAACTATTAGTCTGGACTGTTTGTTTCTCCTGACTACCTGAGCTACTGTGAGCACCTGCTATTGACACAGCTTGCCTTGGCCACATCCCTCATGCATCCTCCCCCAGGAATCAGCCTCAGGTCCTTTTCATTCTGCTGAAAAGTAAAACAGGTCGGTGTGCCCAGGTTCAGCTATGACAGCATGTGCATGATTTCCTCGTGCTGGTGTTTAGAGAAGAAAAGCTCACACGATGATACGTGTTTGGATCTGGCACTAACTGAATGGAGCCTGGTGCCTGGGGACATAAATCATAAATCACTCATTGTGTCATAACATTCCTAATTAATACCTTCCTTCAACAAAAGAAGAAAGACATCTGGGAGCCTGGCATGTTTTTATCTAAGATGTACTTTATGCATTACACAAAAGATTTTAGGCTTATCGGTTTATGAAAAGTATATGACAACACTGCCAGCCAGCTTTGGAATGCAGGATTTCAAAAAGACTCTTTGCCTTGATGTGTAAAACCTTGTTGAAAAGTAAAATTATGCCATTTTCAGCGCGTTTATTCCAAAACAAGTGGCATTGCTGACCAGTTGTGGACCCGTTTATCCACTCCTATTGCTTGTTTTGGTTTGGGGAATGCAATTCCTTCTCCTCACAGGCAGGAATGGCCTTTCCCGAGGCAGGGCAAGGCTTCACATCTGGATTTGTGCTCACGAACCTGGAAGGATGACAAGCTACTTCCCCACCTCAGTTAGGGAAAGCTGTGATTTCCTTCTGGTGCATCAAACAATGCCCCGAGTCGTGAGCTTCTAAAGTCATGTGAGGCTTGTTGAGCTGCACAGCACAAAGAGCGGAGGGCTCACTCCCCAGAGAATATGACCGCTTTTCACCAGAGGCTAAAGACGGCCAATTCCTACGTCATCTGGGAAACTCTTCTCAATCCTGACACTATTTACACACAGAGATAGAAGTTGCCAGAAATCATTCAAGGGAATCTTGATTTTTAACAATATTGCATGCAACATTGCAAAGTATTAACTCATTTGGTTCAGCTATATTTTAATAGACGAACGCTATGTGTGTGGGTTTTGTTGTGTGTGTTTTTCCTGAGAAAACAATTTGAAAATAAATAATTGATAGACAGCAGTAATTTCTAATTACAGCTCTGGCCTTAACACTCAATTATGAGTTAGTATCATGCATTATTTATAAAGTCAACCCAGAGAGATAGTTTTAAAGTACTTAAGTATTTACGTGCACAGAACCCAGAGGATATGTTCTGTTCGGAAATGGAAAAGACAATTCAATCAGCAGTTTTACTGAGCCCCTCTGACTTCTAAAAAGCCTTTCCCGAGATGGTCTTAACGCTGCATCCTGTTCCAATTTCCACTTTGTCTCAGACTGTTCTGGCAGGATTCAGGCTCAGCCCTGGCTAGAAGGCGAACTGAGAAAATAGCTCAAGCTGGGAGGGAAAGCCAAGTTTTTTTTTTTTGTTTTGTTTTGTTTTTTTTTGTTTTTTTTTACCTGAGACTGAGCTTGCAGGGACAGCTTCAGCTCCTCGCTGTCCGTGGCTGTCATGCTGGTTTTGCCACATGACACTTTGTGAAGCTCTTCCCAGCACTCTTTGGGCTTGTCCTTGCAAATCAGTCCCAGGAGTCCCGCACTTTTTGTCCCGCTCATGGCACATTCATAGAAAGTGCCGTTGAGCAAAGCCACCGACAGCCACATCATTGGAGCCACCAAGGAGCTCAGAGTGATCTGGCCCAGGACGTAGAAGAAGCGGCCGCCCTGGCCCCGGGGGAAGATTTTCCTGGGGTTCACGCAGCAGCCTGTGAAGAGTCGCCAGGACCTGTTGTTCAGGAAGAATCCCAGGATGAGTAAAACCCAGGCGGGAGCAAAGAGGAAAACCAGCCCGTACAGCACGTTCTCGCTGCTGCAGGGGCACTTGAACGCCACGAGTGAAAAGAGCCGCTCGCCTCCCAGGGTCAGCAGAGCCATGAAGCTGTAGCCAATCACCGTTTTCTGGTGGAGGATGAACTTCAAAATCCCATTGAAAGCATCCATTTTGGAGGTAAATAAAGCGGGGAGATGCTTCGCCTTATTTATTGGCAGAGCGGCTGTGGCCGTGGCTGAGGGTGGAGCTCCTCCTTCCCAGACCGAATTCGGCCAGATAAGGAAGCAATGTCATTCCCCAAGAATGAGTATTTCCCAACTGTGTTTAGACAATGCCTCCTACTGGTGGGTATTGGGCCATGAAACTAGAGCCAAAACACTGGCAATTAAAGTCAAAGTGCAAAGCCTCCGTTTTTATGTTATTTCCATGCATTGAGAATCTGAAAGAAATTCTCACTCATGTAAATAATAGTCTAGGAATTTTCCAGCCGGAGAAATCAAAGCATTGCCAAAAATGGGTTTCAGCCAGTTGGTCGGGAGCCAAGTCAATGTCCAAGTCTGGACATTTGTGCTGGTTTTTTCTATCTTGCTACTTAAGAGCAGGAAATTCACTTTATATCCTTTCAAGCTGGCTAGGGGCAGAGAAGGGCAGCAAATTTCAGGATTTGGGCTACTTGGAATTCATAGGAAAACTTTAGTGAGCCTTTGAGTTTTGAATGAAAGACAAAATGAGAAGTCCTCATCATTTCTTTCCTGGGCTATCATAGTAATCTTTTGATTGGCATGTCTGCCTTTGACCTCATGCCCAGCATCCCCTCTGTCCTAAATCCACCCTCCATGCTGACACAAAGGAGATTCCTATAAAACAGAAACTGAATTCTGCCGTAGCTTAGTCATGGCTTTGAGCCTCCCCACTGCCTACAAGCTGATAAATGCCAGCCTCCCGTGAGTCTTATCGTGGCGTTTCATGCCCAGGATATGTTCCCTCTACCTGGAATATCACCCCCACCATCCCCTCTTTGTTCACCTGACAAACTCTCACTCAGTATTCATGAACAGGGTAGAAGTTCCTTCTTCTGTGATTATTTCCAGGATTGCTTCTTAATACAGGTGGGGCAAAAGTAGGTTTAGTTGTTCATATAAAAATAATACAATAATTAATAAATAATACAAGAGTAAAGTCTGTGTTTCACATACTCACAACTATAAGCCTACTTTTGTTGCCCTACCCTATATATAACATTGTACTTGCAGAACTTGTTATCTTGCAGCTATTTGTTTAATATCTGTAGCCCTTTTTATTAACTTGTATTCTGGATCTAAACATGGTGTCAAACAGATTAGATGCTCATTCAATAATTACTTTTTCAAATAGTTATTGAACTCCTACTGTATGCCAGGCACTGTACTAGACAGGCAGTGCTCATTGAGTACGAATGAATGAATGAATGAATGAATGAAAAAACCTTTAATTAGAAGTACTTCTAATTAGAAATAATTTAAGGAAATTATATCAATTTCCCTCCTACAATCC